ATTGCTCAATATGTTTTTAAAAAAGAAAATATCACTTAGTTTTCTGATTTACCCTGTCTAACCCTGAATACTAAATTAACCAATGACATATATGAAATTGTACCAAGATTTATATTTCTTTTCTGCTATATGTAATAAACATTTCCTTTTATAGCATTCCTTTCTTTTCCCCACTCCCTTCATAAAAGCTTCTCAGACTGCTATTTCAAACTTTTCAAAATACCTAATACCAGGAGTTCTCCTGCTTTTCTCCCCATTCAATTCAAACTCATGGAAGGACAAAGGTATAATCTAAAATATAAAATGACAAATCATGTACATGAGTTTCAAAATATACATTTTATTCTTGCATTTGACTATGGATATGTATAACAGCCCTAAAATGTTCTTCAAAGAAAATGAAATGCCGTTATGAAGATCAAACAAGGGTAACACATGGAATCACTTAGTTTCTCCACCTTACCTTTATTTCTTAACTTCCTTCAACATTTCTGTACACAAAACAGAGTTCCTTACTTTCAAGTTTTTGGTTTCAAAGGGCTCTCCCGCTTCACTGTTCTATATGCCCACACCTCTCTCAGTCATCAGGCTAACTTACTGTTGTTATCCAAGAAAAATGCACTCTTCCACATCTATTCTGAAGCTTATCACTCTTACTAAAATCTCTCTCTCAACTACATCCCCAACCTCAGCTCTTGGTTTTGGAAAGCTATTTTTCACTTAGGTCCCAGCTCCACTGTCAATACTTCCTTTATGATTCTTCTGGACAGAAACAATCACTTCTTCCTCTGGGTTCCAACAGCATGTTGTTCAAATCTGTACTCAGCATTATCAGTCTGCCTTTTATTATAATTAGTTTCTTATGTGTCTGCCACCACCCTCCTTTCCAGATTATAAGCTCCTTGATGATAGGGACCGTGTCTTATTCATTTTTGCATCTATCCACAATATCTATCACATAGCAGGCATTCATTCTAATGAACTAAAATGATACGAATTAAAATACAGGAAAGTTGAAATGTTAATAAAGCAATTGAGTAGGATACCCTAAAACTTAAAATATTACAAGGTTTCCTGTGGATAAAAATCTAATGAATAATTATTGTCTTCTAAGAGTAATGGAAATTGATTATATATATGATTTTCGTATATTCCCTTTGGATTAGCCATCCACAGTTCTCATTAATCCAGAAAATTTAAAGTTGTCTGCATTTATCTGATATCCCCTGCCTGGAATATAGCTCAGGAATAAAAGTTTTATGTTAAAGTCACAGCCATAAAAATAACACTTTATATAAAAACTACGAACAATTAAGGGCAAAAACAAATGGGAAAAAAAACATACTTCCTCTTCATCAGGTTCAACTTCTTCTGTTTCAACAGCTGAAATATTAGTTACTGGTTTATTCCATGCCAGCTTTAGATCCTGCCCTTTGAAGCGAGCTCCATGAACTGCAGCCTAAAACAATTAAGAATAGTGGGATATAAAACATTAATAATTTCTGAAAAAAATAAACTTAATAGTGCCTAATATTTAAATTAAAATAGCTAAACACAACTGAAGACAGCTACCTATGCATCTGCTTTGTGATTACCATTTATTGTTTATTATCATAATTAACAATTTACTTCTTACGGTTATTTACTTTTACACTAGTGATCGGAAGTTCCTTTGAAAAGAAAATAAGAACAATTTCTCATAAGCGAGCAGAGCTATTTCACTACTGGCCAGTATTTGACTAGAAGAAATATGTCTACATGTTTACAATACAATGGTAACTGCTATTTAAGACAACAATCTCAAAGCACTTCAAGATCCTAGCTATACCTTCTGGATGAATGTCTAAATTAGGATTAATGTGCTAAATGTATTTTATTGTATTTTAATTGTTGTTAATTTACAAATGGTATATACAGTAACTATTAACTAGAAACCTTCAATAAATATAATAATTTTGCATGTGTAAAGTATCACATTATTTTCAAATTATATCAAAAAGATCACAACTACCATAAAATGTCTGGCATAACTAATAAAAACATAAATATCTCAATAAAAGGAAAAAAATCTTGTTCTTTTCCACTGAAAAATAGTCTTTCTTACAAGCTTTTATAACTGGATATGATAAAACTTGAACTTACAAAACAGTCAAGTCTAAGTACTTGCTACATTAAGTGACTGATTTAGAAATAATGCATTCGAATTAAAGTAACATAAACTAATATAAATCAACATTAGTAACATACTGAAATTACTCATAGTCACAAAAGATTTATAGAACAATCTCAAAGTACAGCATAATGTGAAATGTAGAAACAATTACATGTTCAATGACATCTGAACAAGAGTTGTGTGATATTAAAGTCCCCAGGTATAAATTTTAAATCTGTACATATAAATTTATGATAAATTTAAAAGATTTCATGCCTATTAAAATGCAGCTCAGGAGTTTTTAGTCCATGGCTTCATCACAATGTCATGTAAGTAGAATTTTTTAAAAGTACTTATTCATATTTAAGTTCAGGAATTTGCAATTTTTTTAAGCTACAATCATTACACAAAAATATATATTACTATAAGGAATTCCAACAGTCTCATACAAAATGCCTATTCATAAAACTCATCTTTTCATTCAGCTAAAAAAAATTCATCTAAAAAGCAAAACATGTTACTGACATTTTCTATTGTAAGTTCTTGACCAAAACTTCTGATGACCTTACATGAGTTAAACATCTCTATATTCATCACACACTTCCTCAAATTTATAAGGTGAGTCTACAATTTCCTGGAGTTTCAATTTTAAAATTATTTACAAGATGATTTTCAAACTTTTTGTTAACTTTGCTCCACTAGAAACTTTTTTTTTTTGTAGCAACCACTATGACTTTATTACCTAATAATTTAGTTTTACTTTATTCTTAATCTTCTTCCCCAATATAGACATTATCTTAGTCATTAATTTTCAGTCAATTATCATTATTTAGCTTAACCAACATGCTATGTACCAACATTTGCTCATGACTGCTTCTTAAATTTCACATTTTCATTTTTTTTATTTATAAAAACTAGAAACTTTTGATTATTAAGCTGTGTAAATATTTGAAATAACTTGAGTTTTTATTTTTTGAAGACGTAAATTTATTCAAGAGAACTAAAAATTTCTGATGTTGTAAGAAACATTATTTA